GTTGAAAGATATGAGGTTTTAGTTTTGCGAAATATGTTTTGTCATCGAGAAATTTGAGGAATACAGCTCAAGGAAAAGATATGTATTGATCAATGGACACCTTTTGTTTTCCCAATTACAGTTGGTACTTCACATTTGTTCAAGGATTTGTCTATATCATTCTCATTTATCTTCAAGGTTTCATCACTAAACAGATGATGAATCCATGGAAGACTTATGTGAAGCTCTCTCCAGTCTTAAGGGGTTCTCATGGACTTACCAAAGAGTCTTTGGCTTTCTTAACTATCCAGCACAACTTGCGTTCAAATCCACAAAGGTAAATGTTTAACTCTATTACTTTTTTTAATTTCATGCTAAAAAAAAATAACAATTTTCCCTGCTAGACGTTTTGATAACTTCAGTTTTTGTTTGATAGCCAAATTGGGTCTCTTAATTTATAATGGTGTAAATGATTCAAATTAGCTCATTGACTCTTCCAATGTGAATCAAGTAAACGGGATCAATTTGGCTATAATTGGAAATTTATTTTGTCATCTCAGGTTTTGCCTGTAATGGTCATGGGCACATTCATACCAAGCCGTAGACGAAAACACCCGGTTCATGAATATGTATCTGCAATACTTTTAGTTGTGGGGTTGATTCTTTTTACCTTAGCAGATGCACAAACTTCACCAAATTTCAGTATGATTGGTGATATAATGGTATTGGGTGCTCTAATCATGGATTCGTTTCTTGATAATTTGCAAGAAGCAATCTTTACCATGAATCTTGAAACCACCCAAGTGACTATCTTGTGCTATGCTTTTGTGTTGTTTCTTAAATTGAAAATTTGTGACTTTATCTGGATATCATCTTACTCTATGGCTTCTATTAGTTTCAATCTTAATTGTTCTATTTCATTTATTTATTGTTCAATTGGTGACTGTAAAGAAGAGATCTACCATTTTCACAGCTATAAAAAACTGGATTTCTGAAATTTCCAACTTCTGTGGTTTTAAATTTCAGAATTAGATTAATTTGAGCTAGAAAGGCCTGATTTTTAGTCCATAGACTCAACAACTTCAGTTCCAAGTCTTGCAAATATCACAGGTTAGGAGTATTAAAATCCCATAGAACTTGAATTTGATCTTTAAAGTTACTAGATCATTGGAAGCCAATTATGTGTTTGGTGTGCATAGATATTTTTGGAGTGTACTGAATAATTTAAGTCTGAGATTTTGTGAAATTTGGTTGTTGAAAGATGACAATTGCAAATAACTTAGCGAAAGAGAAGAAATCCAGGGGGAGCAAACAAAGTTTTATTGTACAACAAATTTTTTTAGGATGGTGCATAAACTTTACAGAAATTAAGATTAATTTTGGTATTACATAACACTGGAGAGAATAATATAACAATGTTGCAGTTACTTTGATTGAAATCAAGAATTAGTGTATTGCCATGGCACATTTTCCTTGGTCTCTACACATATGGGTTGGTTGTGGCGACTGCAGAAACAGGTCTTCTAAAGAAACTGACATTTTTACAAAGGAGAAGTGTATCTAAACGATGTCCAGAATCCATGGTTGTTAATAGTTTATGATTGGGGTTAGCCTTGCTTAGTGATATTATAATATTTGCGGCTATTTCACCCGAATACCATGTTCACTAACCTAAACTCAAGTACTCAAATTCCAGGGCTTCTCTTCTTAATAAAAGAAGAGAAAATGTTAGATTGAGATAATAAGATTGAATTGTAAAAGTTAGATTGATTTACATATGTTTTCTGTGCTAAAGCAAGAAAGTTGTTCATTTGTTTTTGGATAGTTAAGTTGATAGATATATAGCTAAAAATTTTTGGTACTGGTAATTTTACTACAAAGAGTTAAACGATTTTGTGGTGCAATGCAATATGAGAAGACTTGGGCAAGAACTTCAATTTATTACTATTATTTTCAAAAAGAAAAAGATAAAGAAAGAAGGTATAGAACAAAGAGTTTGTTTTATGTGTTAAATGGGTGGAGATACAACTACTAGAACTTGTCCAGTATCTTTACACCAACATTAAATATATATTTAAATTTAATACTCATTATTTGGTATATAATATTTTTATTATTTATTTCTTTAATTATCAATTCAATATAAAATTAACTTCAATACAAATAATTTAATGCGAGACAAACAATTAATAATAATGTAAAAAAAATTCTATAAATATACCTGCGCAACGCGTAGGCTTTCTATCTAGTTTTTTAATAAATCATAGCCGTCTGTCCTTATCAAAATTAGTCCAACTTTCCCTCTCTTCCACCATTGCTTGAAATAAACTACCAAGTACCAACAATAGAAACTTCCCACCTTGTTATTTTTTTTCTAATTTAAAAAAATATATATTTTTCATAGAATTCATCGCTACTCAATGTCCTTTCTTCATATAACATTCATTCATTTTTTTTCTCTTATGTTTGTAAAGTCTCAATGGATCCTCCTCTTAGCCCCAACACCTTTTCTAACAACTTAAAGGTACATTTTTCTTCTCTTTTCTTTTCAGGTTTCTTCTACTGCGTTAACATAAACCCACTTGTGTGTGACTTGATCCAGTTGTTTAAGTAAACTTAGTGGCTCTGGTGATGGGCATTGTTTTAAAACATGGACCGGAGGGCAACCCACTTCACTACCTGGGTCACGGGTCAACCGGTCCAACCGACCAATTGGACCAGTGATGTTAGCACGGCCAAAACAAATTTTTTTTTTTTTTTTTTTAAATTTCAGAATACCAACTTAATTACTACCCAATGCAAACTCAATAACAATCCCCATTTAACTACAATCCAAAGTCCCCAAACATCATCCATTACAAATTAAATGATAAAATACATAATAATTAATAACAAAACTGCAAGTGTTTTTTATATACAAATTCAGTGAACAAATTATCCATCAAAGCAATAGATTCATAAAAAAAAAAAAATAAAAAAAAAAAAAAAAAAAAAAAAAAGTGGAAATATCTTTACAAAAGAGTGTTTTCGTCTTCATTGATTTTGAGCAGGAGAAGTGTTGTCGTCGTCGATTCCAACAAAGGAGGGAGGCGTCGTCGTCCGTCATCATCATGCAAGGGAGAAGGGAGGTGCGTCGTCGCCGAAATCCAGTGAGTGAGATGCTGCCTTCGTCGAGCAAGGGAGAAGGAAGGTGCATCGCTGTCGAAATCCAGCGAGGGAGGTGTTGCCGTCATCAAGCAATGCAATCGAGCGAGAGAGGTGCTATCATCGTCGAGCAAGGGAGAAGGGAGGTGTGTCATCACCGAAATCCAGCGAGAGAGGTGTTGCCATCATCAAGCAAGGGAGAAGGGACGTGCGTTATCGTCGAAATCCAGCGAGGGAGGTGCTGCTGTCGTCGAGCAAGGGTCCAAGGGAGAGTGGAGTTGAGATGAAGTTGAGAGATTGAATTGAGACTGAGTGCAGTTATCTGAGAAGGGAGTTGCGATTTTGGAGAGTGGAGAGATTGAATAGAGTGGAGAAGTGGAGTCACGTGAAAAATAAATCAGATTTAGGGTTTTTTCATTTTAAATATTGACCCGGTTCACCAAGCGGTCTGGTTCGACTGGGCGGGTCGCACTGTTCATTCGGTTTGATAACAGGCTTAAATGGTTTTTAAGTAATAGTAGGTTTTATATTAGCTCGGACCAGACACACAATCGGGTCCTAATCAAACCGGCTAGACCCGCCGGTCCGGTCCGGTCCGGCTTTTAAAACAGAGGTGATGGGTGAAATGTTTAGAATGGACCTCTAAAACATTTATACTGTAGGTGTATTTTATGGTAGTTTTTAAACTTTAGCGGTTTTATTGATTTTTGGATAACTACAGAGTGTTTATTTATTTACCTTTTGGATTAAGATCATATAATTGTGATATAACTAGTTTGCTTCTTTCTACTGCATAAACCCACTTGTGTGTGCTGAACCAATTATTTAACTAAATTTCATCACCTTGGTGTTAGCTGAATGAAATGTGAAATATTTGTACTTTTTGGGGTGGTTTGTGTTATTTTTTAACTTTTAAGGGTTTTGTTGGTTTTTGAGATAATTTGAGGGATTTTTTAGTTGTGGAGTCTTTTGGATTTTAATCATATGATTTGATGGTGGTTATGGATAGTTAAATAAACCTCATCAGTTTCATAAACAAGAGAAATTACTCTTATGATATGTTTGTACTTTCAACTTTCTAGGGTGGATTTTGTTATTTTTAAAACTATGAGGATTATATTTAGCTTAAATTATTTAGAGATAATACTTGAGTCTTCTCCAACTTTTAGATGAGTTTTCTAAGATACTAATCTCTCTAACATTTGATCTTTATTGTAACTTATAGACAAATTAAGCTGAATCTGGTTTTGTATTTGAGCATATGTCAATCTGAAATGTTTGATAATTTAACTTTGCCAGTGTTATTTATTATTAAGATTGAAAAATAAGTGAAAGAATCTTGCCATAATGTTATATCAAATCTATTAGTCATCATTTCATAATCTAAACTGTGTTGTATCCTGTGATCTTTTCAATTTCTTCTTAATAATTTTTTATGTACTTGGATATAATGTTTACTACCTTTGTAATAATATAATGTTTAAGGGTCCGCTAACAATTCATTAAACTTTTTTACATTAAGAAATTCATCCTCAAATTTAGCTGACTTTGATGGTTCTGATTACTAACACAAACTATTTTATTCAAATACAAAACAACCCTTAAACACCTTCTTCTTCATTTAGGAAGGTCTATTGTCCTCTCACAAACTAATAGAAAACACAAAATCATTTTTCTAAACTTACACAAATATATTGCATAAACATTACACTCTTCCTATGATACATTTGCAAATCCCATGAGTTAAACCTTCATATAATCAAAATGTTCATCTTGGAAATCCTTAAAACAAAAACATACCAAAAACAGAAAACAAATTTATACCTCAAATATTGCAGCTATTAATTTTCCACACAGTTGATTGCAGTTTCAGCTTCTCATTCTGAAAGAGCCTTGACTTTTGAATCCATTGCTGGTCTCATGTTTCTATCTTCTTCCACACCAGACATGCAAATTTCAACAACAATTTTGCATCCTGGTTCATGTGAAAGAGTTTGCAACTTGTACTCACTTCAGCCTAAAATGCTTCTTCTCCTCAATATATATCTCCTAGTCTCTTCACAACGACCGTCATTTCATCAACTAAAACACCCTGCTTAGATGTTGCACACCGGAAATTGTATAAGCAAAGCTTCAGTAAAATTGAGATCAAATCCTTAGAAATCAACTCTTGGAACAATAATTAGTAATTAGTTCTAGTGTTGCATTTTTCTTTTGATTGATGAATATTCTTGATAAACCTCTTTGACTCATCAATTCCAACAACCCATTAGCTTCCTCCATCATCCCCACCTCGCAAAGCCCACTTATCATTATTGTGAATGTCACCACATCAGGCTGCAAACCTCTTTGATTCATCAATTCAAATAACCCATTAACTTCTTCCATCTTCCCCAACTCGCAAAGCCCACTTATCATTATAGTGAACATCACCACATTAGGCTGCAAACCTCTTTGATTCATCAATTCAAACAACCCATTAGCTTCCTCAATCTTCCCCATCTTACAAAGCCCATTTATCATTGTATTAAAAGTCACCACATTAGGCTGCAAACCTCTTTGATTCATCAATTCCATCAACACATTAGCTTCTTCCATCTTCCCTTCTTTGCAAAGCCCATTAATAATTGAATTAAATGTCACCACATCAGGCTGCAAACCTCTTTGACTTATCAATTCCATCAACCCATTAGCTTCCTCCATCTTTCCCTCCTTGCAAAGGCCATCTATCATTGAATTAAAAGTCACCACATTAGGCTGCAAACCTCTTCGACTCATCAATTCCATCAACCCATTAGCTTCCTCCATCTTCCCCTCTTGGCACAGCCCACTTATCATTGTATTTAAAGTCACCACATCAGGCTGCAAACCTCTTTGATTCATCAATTCCAACAATCCATTAGCTTGCTCCGTCTTCCCTTCCTTGCAAAGCCCATTTATCAATGTATTAAAAGTCACCAAATTAGGCTGCAAACCTCTCTGACTCATCAATTCGAACAACTCATTAGCCTCCGTACCCCTATTCTCCAAACACAAACCCTTAATCAAAGAAGTCAAAGTCACAACATTTGGGCTAAAACCCCACTTCAAAATCCTCCTGAAAACAACAAAACCATCACAAACTCGACCCACGTTACAAAAACAATTAATCAAAACATTTAATGTAAAAAGATCTGGCATCAACCCAATTGAAGTCGCTCGCTTGTAAAGCAAAATAACTTCTTCATAAAACTTCTTCTTAGTGAGAGCTCCAACAATCGGTTGAATGATGAAATCGGTGGTTTGGGTTGCATATGAATCATTAAATAAAAGAAATAGCGTGCTTCATCAAGAGTGATATTACCTTGTTTACAATCCTTTTGAATGAATTTATCAAGCCTTGCTACCTCTTCAACGTTATGTACTGAATCTGGTGGTATAGTTGTAGTCACTTTACATGTATTTGTGAACAAAGATGAGATTTTGGTTTCAGAAGAAGAAGAACAACGACGAAGAAAGGTTTTGAACGCCATTTGAGTAGCGGCGTTTGCAGATTATCTAAGGTTCAAACTGGCTAAGTCTTTTGTAGTTTAAATAATACAATCTCACGAGAAATGAGTGTGGGGTTAAATGTATTTATGTGAAACCTGTAGGGTACACATGTTATTATCCAGGCATCGGTGGTCTGGTAAAAAGTCAAAATTACAATAAAATTTGAGCCTTTCAGTCCCTCTCTCATTTCTCTCTTTAATGTAATGAGACCACTTTGCCATTTCTTTATGTTATTTGCTCATGTCTCAATCGATGACTTGATCCAGTTGTTTTAAGTAAAATCAGTGGCTTTGGTGGTGGGTAAAATATTTGCAATAATACTATACTTACAAAGAAATCTTACAAAGATTTATATACAAAGTGAGGTGGCAAAAAATGAATGGAAGAGTGAAACAAAAAGTCAAACTCATTAAATTCACCATTCCATTCATATTTTGCCACCTCACTTTGTATGAAGATCTTTGTAAATAAGAATAAACTTCACATTGTAATAAGTTATAATTTTTCTAATTCCCGTCTTAAGGAAAGTTGCCTCCACATAGTATTAATTATCTGTATATTACTAAAAAAAAATATGTTATGTTACATTAAAGGTTTAAGATAAAATAAAATATTTATCTAAAATTGTTTGGGACAATGATTTATATTTTAGAGTTGTTACCGCATTTTTTACCTTTCTAGTATGTAATAACTTGCTAGCATGGATACCTTCTTGTTGAAACTAAAATATTTTTAGCTTTTCAAACATGTTTAGAGCTTCATGGCATGCAAACTTTTGTATTTCCGTACTATTATTCTTAGGATTATTTCCTTTATCTTCTTCTCTAACTGTAGCAATGATTTCTTCTTCTGTTAAAGCATACACGATTTGTTGCTCATTTGGATGATCGAGGAAGACATTAATATCCATTCGATTAGTGTAGTGAAATTGTCAAATCTGATCTCTTAATTTTGCACTGACTCTTTTATTTTCTTGTTAAATCTAATCACTTAATTTTGCAATGACTCTTTTATCTTCCTCATCCACTTCATTTGTAACTTGCAATTCATCGAAATCGGGGGTCATAATTTTGCAATGCTTAAAACCATTAGCAATTGTCTATGACTTCACATTAATTGACCATGCATCAACTGCATTTGTAGTTCCATCAATGACACTTATCTTTGCTAGTTCCAAGACACGGTCTTCTATCCATTTCAAAAGTAGGCAATTGAAGCATTGAATTGAAATCCTAATACTATACTACTAAAACATGAATTAAAAAAATAAGAAATCAAAGTTATAATTTTTGTAACTACACCTCCTTTAAGTTATAACCTCCTTATAGTAATAAAATTAGTTAGTCCTACCATTATGACTATAGAGAGGTTTTACTGTATTTACCTATCCATAAGATCATGTGATTGTGATATAACTAGTCTTCTTCTTTCTACAATATAAACCCACTTGTGTATTTTGAGATAAGTGTGAGAGTTTTTTAGTTATCCATGGATAGTTATTTGTAGAGACTTATGGATTTGATGGTTAAAGTAAACCCCATCAGTTTCAGAAACAAGAGAAATTACTCTTATGATATGTTTGTACTTTCAACTTTCTAGGGTGCATTTTGTTGTTTTTAAAACTTTGGGGATTATATTTTTTCTGAAATTATTTAGAGGGTGTATTGTACTTGACATGGATAGCTATTTCTGCAGCCTTTTGGATAGATCATATGATTATGATATGATGAAGAACAACAAAAACTATTTTGTTGTTCTTTTTTCCTTTTTTAATGTTGTAGACCAGGCATCAAATTTTGTTCATGTAATTTTGCAATGAAATATGTAGCTCTTTAAATTGACATACCTTGCATTACTGGCAACTGAGTGTTCGAACTAGTTTATAAATCTTGGATCATCTAAACTAAGTAAGCGTGTTTCGAGCGAAGGATGTTCATGTAAAGCTTAAAAGCAAATCCATAAGGTTTAGGAACTCTTAACTGTGATTAATAAAGCACAAAGTAACTGTGATTAATCTTTTATACGATCAAACTGTTCATCCTGGTAATCCTTCAACCAACAACAAACCAAAAACAAAAAATAAATTTATAGCTCAAATATTGCAGTTATTAATTTTCCACAAAATTGATTTCAATTTAGCTTTTGATTCTGAAAGAGCCTTGTCTATTGAATCCATTGCCAATCTCATGTTTCTATCTTCCACCACACCAGACTGGTTCATGTAAAAGAGTTTGCAAATTGTACTCACTTCAGCCTAAAATGTTTCATCTCCTCAGAAAATATCTCCTAGTCTCTTCACGACAACCGCTCTTTCATCAACTAAAACACCCTGCTCAAATGCTTCTTCCACACCAGACATGCCAATTTCAACCAAAAATTTGCAGCCTGGTTCAAGTAAAAGATTTTCCAAATTGTACTCAGTACTCACTTCAGCCTAAACTACTTCTTCTCTTCTATATATATCTCCTAGCCTCTACCCTTTCATCAACTAAAACACAATGCTTAGATGCTTCAAACCAGAATCATATAAGCAGAGCTCCAGTGAAATTGAGATCAAATCATTAGAAATCAACTCTTGGAACAATAATTAGTTCTAATGTTGCTTTCATTTGATTGATGGATATTCTTGATAACCCTTGGTCAATGTTAAACTTATCAAAACACATTTACCTTTGGTTGGATCAAGAAAATTTCAATGCCTGGAGATCTTTGGCACCTCATTATCAAATTATCCTATCATACTGCTTCAGATATCTTCATTGGAGAATCCTATAAATTTTATGGCATCAAAAATCTTAAACAGGCTCTGAATGCTTGAAACATAAATTAGCAATCGACTTCGAAAAATAGGAAAAGGATTAAAACAAAAGTAACTATAAAATTATATAAAAAATTCCACCATATTCCAAGATATTGAAAGTCATACAAGAAAGAAGAATTCTCCTGATGTAAAACAAGACGCGATGAGATTCCTATACTACCTTATCATACAAAGCAAGGAACGAATCCTTGAAATACATGATATGTGCAAATTTACATTCTTGATAATGAAAAATTGAAATACAACTTTGTTTGGGAAAGGAAAATCATACCTATGGAAGTATACATTCACCACTAAAGAACTTAAGTAAACAGAGTATGCCACATATATATCTAACTTGTCAAGACATGCACTGTGGAAGAAAAACGATATAATAGTATTTGAGCAAACAAAAAGTTGGACAACGTCCATAAAAGCAAAAATAACCATTGGATGTTGCACTTCCAGCTTCATGCTTTGAGAGAACTTTGGTAAAACAGGATTTTAAAAAAGGAAAAAAAAAAAAAAAAGTCTATTTCCTCAATGGCCATCTTAAAATTTTCCTTCACGGTTGGACACCAAGTGGCAGATATTTGCAAAAAGTATCAAGTGCCATCTTTGCCTCATGGCATATACTCTCAGAATATCCAGAACTCATTGCAAAAACAAGAGTTAAAACAATTAGAGTGAGAATTCAGGTGAGTAACAACAAATTGAAATAAAAAAAAAAAAAAAAAAAAAAAAAAAAATTTCCTTAAAAATAATATAAAGGGGTATATGTCAAGACATATGATCGAAGGATGCAACATATAAAGATACCAAATACGCCTATGGGTCCTTATAAAGGTCAAGACTAGAAAATCAGATCACAGGCTACAAGCCTCTTTGACTCATCAATTCCAACACCCATTAGCTTCCTCCATCTTCCTCCTTCGCAAAGCCTACTTATCATGTAGTAAAAGTCACCACATTAAGCTGCCAAACCTCTCGGATCATCAATTTCAAGCCTGCATTAGCTTCCTCCATTTTCCCCTCCTTGCAAAGCCGGGGGGGGGGGGTGGGGGGGGAGGGGGGGGGGTGGGGGGCGGGACCCCAAAGCCCATTTATCATTGTAGTAAATGTCACCACATCAGGCTGCAAACCTCTCTGACTCATCAATTCAAACAACCCATTAGCTTCCTCAATCTTCCCCTCCTTGCAAAGCCCATTTATCATTGTATTAAACGTCACCACATCAGGCTGCAAACCTCTTTGAATCATCAATTCCATCATCCCATTAGCTTACTCCATCTCCCCCTCCTTGCAAAACCGATTTATCATTGAATTAAAAGTCAACACATTAGGCTACAATCCTCTTTGAATCATCAATTCCATCTTCCCCTTCGCTTCCTCCATCTTCCCCTTCTTGCAAAGCCCATTTATCATTGTATTAAAAGTCACCACATTAGGCTACAAACCTTTTTGACTCATCAACTCCAACAAATTATTAGCTTCCTCCATCTTCCCCTCCTTGCAAAGCCCATCTATCATTGAATTAAAAGTCACAACATTAGGCTGCAAACCTCTTTGAATCATCAATTCCATCAACCCATTAGCTTCCTCAATCTTCCCTTCTTTGCAAAGCCCACTAATCATTGTATTAAATGTCACCAGATTAGGCTGCAAACCTCTTTGACTCATCAATTCCAACAACCCATTAGCTTCATCCACCTTCCCTTCCTTGCCAAGCCCATTTATCATTGAATTAAACGTCACCACATCATACTGCAAACCTCTTTGAATCATCAATTCCATCAACCCATTAACTTCTACCATTTTCCCCTTCTTGCAAAGCCCACTTATCATACTATTAAAAGTCACCACATTAGGCTGCAAACCTAGTTGACTCATCAATTCCAACAACCCATTAGCTTTCTCCATCTTCCGCTCCTTGCAAAGCCAATTTATCATTGTAGTAAATGTCACCACATTAGGCGCCAAACCTCTTTGACTGATCAATTCCAACAACCCATTAGCTTCTTCCATCTTCCCCTCCTTATAAAGCCCATTTATCATTATATTAAAAGTCACCACATTAGGTTGCAAGTCTCTCTGACTCATTAATTCCAACAACTCATTAGCTTCCTCCATCTTCCCTTTCTTGCAAAGCCCATTTATCATTGTTGTAAACATAACCACATTAGGCTGCAAACCTCTTTGAATCATCAATTCCAAAAACCCATTAACTTCCTCCGTCCTCCCTTCCTTGCAAAGCACACTTATCATTGTAGTAAACATAACCACATTAGGCTACAAACCTCTTTGAATCATCAATTCCAACAACCCATTAGCTTCCTCCATCTTCCCCTCCTTGCAAAGCCCATTTATCATTGAATTAAAATTCACCACATTAGGCTGCAAACCTCTTTGAATCATCATTTCCATCAACCCATTAGCTTTTTCTCTCTTCCCCTCCTTGCAAAACCCACTTATCATTGTGTCATACGTCAGTAAATTAGGCTGCAAACCTTGATCCACCATCTCAAAAAACAAGCCTTTAGCCCCCTCCAAATTTCTCACAAAACAACAACTGTAAATTAGAGTGGTACAGACAACCACATTTGGCTTAACTTCTCCACTCTTCATTTCCAAAAACAATTCTTTCGTCTTTCTTTGGAAAGACCATTGATAATACTACCATAAGAAATAATATATGGCTTGATGCCAAACACAACCATTTTCTTGAACAACTCCATAGCCTCCAAACTCCTATTCTCCAAACACAAACCTTTAATCAAAGAATTAAAAGTCGCAATATCTAGGTTAAATCCCCACCTTAAAATCCTCCAGAAAACAGTAAAACCATCACAAACTCGACCCACGTTACAGAAACAATTAATCAAAATATTCAAAGTAATTAAATCAAGTAACAACCCCATCGAACCTAGTCGTTTGTAAGGAAAAATAATGTCTTTATAAGACTTCTTCTTAGCAAGAGCTCCAAACAACCGGTTGAATGATGAAATCGGTACCGGTTGTTTGGGTTGCATATGAATCATTAAACAAAAGAAATAGTGTGCTTCACAAAGAGTGATTTTACCTTCTTTACAATCTTTTTGGATGAATTTCTGAAGTTGGGTTACTTTAAGTACTAAATCTTGTGGTATAGTTATAGTCACTTTACCTGCTTTTGTGAATGAAGAAGGAGAAGAAGAAAAACGACGAATCAAGCTTTTGAGCATCATTTCAGTAGTGCCGTTTGTGGATTATATATCGAGGATTCAAACTAGCTTAAACTTTTGTGTGTTGAGGGTTAAATAATACATCTCACTGGAAATGAGAGTGGGATAAAATGTATTTATCTAAAACCTATAGGGTTAGATGTAATTATATTTTTTCTGAAATTATTTAGAGGGTGTATTGTTTTTAACATGGAGGATAGCTATTTTTTGCAGAATAGTGGATAGATAATATGATTATGATATGTTGCAGACCTGGCTTCAAAGTTTGTTCATGTAGCTACTTGAATTGACATATCTCGGATTATTGGCAAAGAGTGTTCAAACTACTCATGAGCAGCTAGCCTCGCCTCGCCTAACAACTTCAAATAGATAAATTGTATTAAATGCAATCCAACCCAATTATGGATTAGGTCAAATTCAATATTGAACTCAAATCTGCCTTTATTCAAAAGGCAAAAACATTCATGATTTCAAATGATATAGTATTTTATATATCTATTTATGAATTCATAATCCATACCCAAATTATGTAAGGACTTTTGCTCAAATGCTTTTAACGAGGTTTTTCATTCTTTTTTGAAGAAATTTTGAAATTAAAAAAGAATATCCATGATACAATTAATCAGACAATACTACACTTAAACGCAATCTCACAAACTTTCTGTCACAACTCTGAGTGATAGCTCGTAATTGGTCCGCTCGTAAATGGGTCCTGTCTACCCAATTATGAGTTGATCAATTACAAACAACTATATCAGGGTTGTGAGAGAAAGTTTGTAAGTATGAGTTGTGAGCCGGTTTTTACTAAATTAATCAACTTTGCTTCTAAAAGAATATCTGAGTCTATTTGTTTTATTATTTTAAGTAGTATTTTTGAAAAAGTTAAGTTGAGTTATTATTACGAGGATAACATTTGAATTTGAAAATGTGTTTGGTAAGATTTTTTTAATCCCCTATATTTGTTAATTTACTTAAACATCCCCGACAATAAAAGTTTTAAAATTAAGAAAAACAGCCCCACCCACCCATTAAATGTTGGCGGTGGTGGTCGACTCTGTCAGGAATATGTGGGTGGGTGGAGGTGTTTTGTCAATTTATAATTTTTTATTGTTAGGGGTGTTTAGTTAAATTAACAAACCCAAGGGGTTAACAAAATTTTAATATTTTGAGTTGCATAGAATAAGATTGGATTTTGGGACCAGTGAAACAAACATGCATTTTGAATAGGATATGATAGGAATAAGGAAACAAACACAAATATGTTTACATGTCAACCTAACAATAAGTTTGAGCATACGTAACAAGGCACCTTGAAAAATATATATATACATTTTTGCAATGTTTATCCATCTAATAGAAAACATCAACGTTAACACATGTGACATATATACTCTCAATAATTAATTGAATGAACATACATCACACAAAATAGTTTGTTACATTTTTTTGAATATTATTCTATTCTAAATAGGATGGGATATGATTTAATCAAATAAGATACAATTATGATTATATTTGTTAATTTAGCTAAACACCTCCACAATAAAAGTTTATAAATTAACAAAAACACCCCTACTCACCCAACTGATTTTGGCAGCCGACCGCCACCGCCGGACGATGGTTGAAAGTTTTCAGAATGGCGTACAACCAACTAAATTTGGTCGATCTTGCACCGATCTTGTCCTTTCCGGTTAGATCTATAGCTAAAGATCCGACAGTTGATGACGGTCATATCTTGGCCATCGTTGACCAATAAGTCTCAGTCGAATTGAAATAAAGATGAAATAATAACATGTCACCAAATTAACCCCATAAATTGAATCCCTTAGAAGATCAATATAATTCTCAAAAGATGGGAGATTGGTGGGCATTATCCTTTAGCTTTATGAAGCTAATATCTGGGGGTGATTAACGATCATACAACAAAGATATGCATTCAGCCGTATAGTCTTGACATAATCCACATTGAATGTAGTAATACTAGTACTAGATTTGCAATAATGCATGCCCCCCCATTGCCTACATTTCAACTTGGAAACCGTGTAAAACAACAGAGAACAGGCCCAGTACAAATACAAAGCTATTTGTGCAGACGAGCTGTTTGTGTAAATTAACTATATATATAGTGATGAGAGCCCTCTGGCTCTTAGATTACAAATATATGGAAGCTTTGTTTCATTCACTTTTCCAAGGAATTTGAGGCCTTATGAGTAGATTTTCATAGGGTTTTGATTCTAGGCATCAGAAAGGTAAGAATTCATGCTCTTTATCTATGATTTATTTGTGTAAAAGTTGAGTTCTTATGAAGTTTATGCTAGGGTTAAGAGAAGATTTGAATCCAACAAGAGTGGAGCTTAGGAGAGACTACTCAAGCATAAGGTAAGTAAATTCCACTCAAAATCCAACTCAAGTTAAAGTTTAAGAAAATCAAGTGAGTAGAGATTTCCTTTAAATATGTATATGTTATGATTATTGAGAAATTGAGATGAGATTGATGATTATTTATGCTTGTTGTTGGATATATTTGAATATGAGGAGTGTATGTGATGGTTTGATGATGGGTTGAAATTGGAAGAATTGGAGAAATCTTTTGGAAGTGTTTGTGCCGTGTAGGTATGGTGATGATATAAGAGAGTTTTTCTCTCAATTTGGGTGGTTTAAGAAACCAATAGGATGATAATTAAATTAGGGTTTTTTCATGCACAATTATTGTTTGATGAAATGCCTAAGTGAAGTATGAGTTGGGTAGAAACCTAAATTTTATGCGACATTGCATATGTGCATTTCATAAGTGCATGTAAGTAAGAAATTTTAAGCATGAGCCATCCATATGCATATAATTGTGTATGTGTAGAAACTTAAGAAAGAATAAAGAATAAAGAATAAAACACTCTAAGAATAAAGAGAAAGGAAGAATAAGCATTAAAGAATTAAAGAGTGTTAAAGAATAAAAAAGAATAGGTTGTTGTGATGGGGAACCGTCAGTGTTAAGAAGAAATTCCCACGTACACGCCACCTTAATTGAGTGGCATAAGAAAAAGAAGAATTGTACGAACCGTAAGAGTGTATGTGGATGAGGGTTGTACCAAGAAGAATTCCTACATGCACGCCACCTTAATTGAGTGGCCTAAGAAGAAAGAAAGAATTTGTACGGTCCATAAGAGTGCATGTAGATGAGGACTATACTCACTCACATGGCCAAGGTTCTGAATCCATGCATCAACCGAGATCGATCGGCAAAGAATAAGAATGAGAAAGAATAAGAATAAGAAAGAATGAGAAAGAATAAGAATAAAAAAGAATGAGAAGGCTTGAACAAGCCAAGAAAAGAAAGAAAAGAAAAACAAGAAAGAAAAGAAAATATCAGAAAGAAAAAGAAAAGAAAAGAAATAGAACAAGAAAATAGAAATAAAAAAGAAAATGCATTTTATGCATTATTGCATATGCATTTTATTCATGCATATTGCCATGAATTTCATCATGGTTAGGAAGAATAGAAAGAATAAGAAAGAAAGAATA